TCTCTTCAGTTGTATCAGATTGATAATTGTGAGGCACACATGATCCATCCTTCCCTGCTTTGTTCAATGAAAGCTTTTCTTCAAAGGAAAGCATATACCTGCCAAATGGTCCATTTGATGTACATCCTCATTCCATATCCAAAGATCTTTTGTGCATTTATGTGATCAGAATTTATTGAAAATAGCATTTCCTTAAATTCCTATCTGGAACATAGCAATCTGGTATTAGGCTATACCAGTTGCAAATTTATAACTTATATATATATTATTTTTTTATACCATTTTATTTATACCTTACTTATACCTTAATTTACAACTTGTATGTCTTCTATTGAAGGCTGTCTAATATAGTATGTGTCTTAACTAACAGTTACAAGGCAAATTACTCTGCATTAGTCTGATAGGTGAATATACCACATAAAAGCAAAATATAAGTTCCTCGCTACAGTACAATCATCTGTATCCAGTGAATTGTCCCCCAGCCTCCTGGATTCTGGCTTTAGACTACTGGTTTAGTCCCACTGATCAGTGCTAAGAGCTTAGTTTCTTATAGGGAGAAGTTGTCCAAGAAAGCCTTAGTGTCACTTGTTCTGGGATACCCAGGATCATCATTAGTACATTCGGTACCATACACTGGACACCTCGGTTCATTACAACGAATAGTGATGCATAAAAACTCAAAACTACCCACTTGTCATCAATAGTGCACTTCAGACTACTGTGCATCCTACAGCCATGCCTGGAGCAAAGAGAAGTCCTCAAAAAACTTTATATCTTCAGGGATCAAGTTAAAGCACAGATAGTTGACTTTCAGTCTTTTAAAACAACAATGCACACTGCTGCTAATCCCAAGTTTTGTACATTCCAACATCAGAGTGACGGATTTTGATAGATGTTGTTGAGGGGTTGTCTTTGCCTCCGCTTCTTGACTTCAGTGTGAACCAGTTCATTGCTTAAACAAGACTTATTTCTTGATCCCTTTCTCCCTCACGAAAGCCACAGCCCATCCACCCAGCACATGAATTACACATCTTGCGGATTTTGGAAAGCTCAGAGACCTAAGTAGAGGAAAAATAACTGAGATAGTTGAGATGTGGGCTGTACTGTTAAAAAGTTGCAGGGAATTCCTTCTCTCAAGTATTACCAGTAGTAGGTGATCCAGTACATGTAGATACACAATAGTGTAATGATGTTGCTTTAACATTGCTGTTTTATTGTAACTTTGACAGTAAGTTTCCGTTGATATTTAGCACAGACTATGATGGGATATATGTGAATACTCATTTCTATGATAATAGAATATTTTTTTGCCTGTGTGTTCCTGAATTTTCTTTGTCTCAATGGAAACTGGCAGGAGAATACAAGGTAAATGCACTAACTCACACAGCATCTTTATTGTTGAGCAAGTTCATATCAGGCTGCAATAGAAACCTTGTAGGTTCTTCTAGGGCCATCACCAAAATGTTTTTTTCAAAAAAAGCTGAGTTTTCACCTTTTACAGTGTTTTGCCATAATGACCTTATAGTAGATTGCAGTTAGAATATACTGTAATAGTAGTTTTACAGGTTTTTATACTGTTTATCTGAAACAGTTTAAACCCAAGCAATTTATATCCAACCTGTCCCAAGACCATGTTGTGTTATTACATAGCTGTTGTTTCTATTTACTGCACGAGCTGCTTCTCAGCACAAAATAGTAACTTAGGTAGTAAAAGTAATTTCTGTGGGCATTAAGACAAGTGATGTGAAAAGTACAGCTCAAGATTTTAGTACACAGAACTGTTAAAGAGGGGCATTCATTCCTGGCAAACTAAGCAATACATCTTGAAGCATTCAAGATTGCTTTTTCCTTACCAAAAAAAAAAAAATAAATTCATAGAGTCATAGAATAATTTAAGTTGGAAAAGACCGTTAAAATCATCAAGCCCAACGGTTAACCTAGCACTGCCAAGTCCACCACTAAACCATGTCCCTAAGCATCACATCTACATGTGTTTTAAATCCCTCCAGGGATGGTGACTCAACCAGTTCCCTGGGCAGCCTGTTCCAGTGCTTGACAACCCTTGCGATGAAGAAGTATTTCCTAATATCCAATCTAAACCTCCCCTGGCACAACTTGAGGTCATTTCCTCTTGTCCTGTCACTTGCTACTTGTGGGAGAAGAGATCAACACCCATCTGGCTACCCCTTCCTTTCAGGTAGTTGTAGAGAGTGATAAGCTCCCCTCAGTCTCCTTTTCTCCAGGCTACACAACCCCAGTTCCCTCAGCCACGTGTAAGATTTGTGCTCTAGACCCTTCACCAGCTTCGTTGCCCCCAGGTCCTTTTCCACTGGGCAGCTTTCCAGCCACTCTTCCCCAGGCCTGTAGTATTGAATGGGGTTGTGACCCAAGAGCAGGACCTGGCACTTGGCCTTGTTAAACCTCATACAGTTGGCCTCAGCCCATTGATCCAGCCTGTCCACATCCCTCTGTGGAGCCTTCCTGCCCTCAAGCAGATGAACACTCCTGACCAACTTGGTGTCATCTCCAAACTTACTGAGGGTGTACTCGATCCTCTCATCCAGATCATTGATAAAGACATTAAACATAAGTGTCCCCAGTACTGAGCCCTGGGGAACACTGCTTGGGAATGCTGCTTGTGACCAGCTGCCAACTCGATTTAACTCCATTCACCGCAAGTCTTTGGGTCTGGCCATCCAGCCAGTGAAGCGTACGCCCGTCCAAGCCATGAGCAGCCAGCTTCTTTAGGACAATGCTGTGGGAAATGGTGTCAAAGGCTTTATTAAAGTCCACGTAGACAACATCCACAGCCTTTCCTTCATCCACTGAGAGGGTCACCTTGTCAGAGAAGGAGATCAGGTTATTCAAGCAGGACCTGCCTTTCGTAAACCCATAATTTAATCTAACTGCTTGTTCACATATCCTTTGTTAAGCAAATGAAATATGCTTTCATTCATCTTTTGCAAAGAAAGAGGAAAGGTTGCATAGCTTCTGGATGGAAGAGTAGGTGGCCATAGGATCACAGACTCTCGTCTTCAATTTAACAGGTTCACTCAGAGGTTAGGAATTAAAATATGCATCTTTGTCTCTGATGTTTGCTCTTTTTAGGGACTAAATATACCATTTGCAGCTCCTGCAGGAGCAGCAGCAGGACCCAGCTAGCAGCTGCTACTTGCCCTGCAGTGGGGAGGAGTGGTGTCCCTGTTCCCTCAGCCCTTCCCAAGTACATGCACACACCTATAGCGGATCCTTATACACTTGTACTCTTCTTTGTAATGAAGAGTTGGTAAGCTCTCTGTTGCGAGCAAAAATAGTTTTCATTTACTATTCAACCAACCAGTTCTTTTCTCTCCTGGGCAAAAGGGTAGACTAGATAGGAATATTCCTATGTGCTGGATCCTGCCTGTGGCTATGCTGGAAAACACGATGCTATCTTGTTTCTCTCTCTTTTCTTTATTTCCTGCTTTTTTTAAAAAAAAAATAAATTAAAAAATAGAGTAAAGTCACTTTGTCAAATGCACAGCAATGATTAATTAGTCAATATTTGTTTGGAGCTTTGGTTATCTTAAGCCTTATTTGGAAACAGTGCTGAATGTTACTCTTCTTGATACATTGACTTGATTATGACCATCGTCTTGATAGAGAAGTTTCTTTTTTACCCTTTGAATCAGGTTAAATTTAGGATTTTGTTCTCAAAGGTTGTGTATATTTTTATACACAAAAACATACTTATTTTTCTGTTTTATTTTAGATATATTTTAGCAGATCAAGGTATTTCATAGGTATCTGAATAGTCTGAATTACTATTTGGATGTCCATAGGCCAAACAGGGAGCTACTTTTATGTGTAGAAATGAGAGTATCCCTGAAGTAGTAGAGTTACCAGTTGGATGCTTGAATGATTTCTCTCAGTACATTACATTGTTTTATATTAGTAAAATATTAGAGTAAAAATTATTTTAAAGTGGTTTTTGAGAAGAAAACATGAAGTCTTATGGGAGTTGTTTATATTTAATTCATACACAGAACTTTACATACCGTTAACGCTAAAATTTTGAATTGAGCAAGAGCACAGTTGTTCTTTTATGTACTGTCACAGCATTTTTGAGAAGAGAGACTGAAGATGTGTAATTCTAAATATGATGCTTCATTATTTTATTCTATTTGGGTTTTGTGCAACTAGAAGTATGGTATTTGAACAAATGTTCCTTGATGTCTTATAGCAGCTAATGCAACTTAGCAGAATCTGTATGTTAAATCACCTGATTCTACTACAGATTTTATGTTGCGTGTTGCCACATATAAAATAACATGAAGTCATGTCATTGAATGTTCTCCACAGGACTTAACTAAAATGATATATTGATAGCAGTGTACTCAACTGCCAAGATAAATGTTTGTTTACATCTATATTACTGAAGAAGATTTCCCTTTATTGGAGAAGTTGATAGTCTGTCAGTAGACAAAAGAGATTTGCTAAAATCTTCCTCTTTTGTACAAGTTTACTCCATTTTAGAATCTAATGGAAGTTGAACTTCAGTGCTGGAACAAAGTATGTCAAGCATTATGCTCTGGGAGAACACGAATGTGAACCTGAGTAAAGAAATCTACATTTCTAGGTTTTGATCTGATAAAGCAATCAATCTATGGACATTCATGAAAGATTTTAAATTACTATGTTTTCTCCATTTACTAACATCATGGGGTTCAAAATTTTATCTTTAAATCATCTTATCTTTAAAGTGATTAGTGCATCAGCTGAGAAGACCTTAAATCAATGCAGTTATTCACTTGTCTTGTGATGTGTTGGTAAAACATGTATATGTGCATATCCAAGTCTATGTAATATAAAATCAAAGCTAGCAGCAAGCAACTCAATTTATATTTTTCTCAGTTTGAATATGTTTGGAAGATTTATTTTGATATCTAATATTTCCATTTGCAGAGCAGATAGAGTCACTCGCACAGTATGTAAGAATTTATTATTTTGTTTTTATTTAGTTTGACAAAGGATATGCTTACAGCATTCGCCACAGCTATGGGAAAGAAGGAAAGAGGACTGATTATACCCCGTACAGCTGCATGAAGATTATCATGTCCAATCCTCCAAGTCAAGGGGATTATCATGGTGAGTTCCTTTAAAAAAAAAAAAAAAAAAAAAAAAGAAGAAGAAAAAAGAAAAAAGAGAAAAATAGACGAAACACTTGGGTAGAGAAGTTACTCCCTTCTGTAGTCTCTTAAATTTTGTATTTAATTTCAAAGCCACAGTGGTCTTAGACTGTTCTCTTTAGATTGCACTTGATAGCTTCTGGTTTTATGTACATTGTGTCATGCAGTGCAAGGAGACTTTAAATGTATAGATGCTTTTAAAAGTGACCAGTTAGAGGTGTTTTGAGATATGAATTCAATCATACAAAAATTCTGAAGTTTGCTAGGGTAATTTGAAACCTCCTACCTCTCTGTGACTAAACATGGAAAACCTGCACTGTCTTCACTGTTGTTACTCCAGTACTAAGTCGTTCATTCAGTTGTGTCTCAAAACTAATTCTGGGACAAAGAAACTCCACTCTTATTTAAGGTGGTGGAGCTTTCTAAGGTATTTCTAAAGTAATATTTTTACAAAGGACTATGCTTTAAAGACCAGTTGGCCCTCATTACTTGTCCTTTCCTGGTTTTTTGCACAGCTATTAAATGTACCAGCGCTATCATTGTTAATAAGGAACTAACTAAAACTCTTTTCCTGTCAGTGAATGAGAACTGTGGCCTGTTTATGTTGGGATATTTTATGTAACTTTTGAGCCTGTGGTGCCCTGATAACCATACAGTGGAGTAATTATTTTAAAAGAAAAAAAAAAAAGCAATTGTACACATGGGCAATTAACTTCCTTATTAATAAGCTGTTAGACAATTAGGAACAGCTTAGCTGGTCTCTTGAGTGCCTTACTGTGCTAACTCCTGGATAAACAGCCTTGTTTTTTACTGTCAGGGTGCCCATTCCGCCACAGTGATCCTGAGCTATTGAAGCAGAAGCTGCAGTCATACAAGATCCCTCCCAGTGGAATAACTCAGGTAAGGCATATTTTGTTTGATGCTTTCATTAATAAGGCACTGCTTTTCAATTTTACTTTCTATTTGCATAGGAATGCTATATGCAGTTTATCAGTATGTAGGGTGAAATATCTCATCTTATGAAAAGTTTAAACCAGAATCTTGGCTTTCTGATGTGTTGCTTATTGTCATCACCTTTTATTGCTTAATATTATGAGTTGGTTTATTACTATACTGGATACAATGCAGAATTTTGGTTTACTTCGTTTTACTGCACTGTGATAAAAAAGAAAGTTTAAATGAATCTGGCAATATTTTAAAGAATTTATTTTTATTCTTGCAGTGACTTGTGGAAGACTCTACTATGTAGTCAGTAGACATAAGCAATTGTTTTCTGTAATAAACTTCTAAAAACCATACATTCTTAATCATCCATTGCGCTAACTTCCCCTAAACAACAAAAGGACATGAAATTCCTAGTGAGATTAAGGAGAGATTTTTAGCAGCTTTTCAAAAGGTAACATTAAATTGAAAACTTATCTTGTATAGCAAGGGCGATGCAGAAATTGGAACTTTTTGACATATATACTGAAGGACTATGACTCCTATTGCTTGCTTTAGCAAGGCTATAAAAGGATGCCATCATCTTCATTGGAGGAAGACGTATGCATTAGAGTTAATCTGAGACAGTTCAGCAAAAAGTTGTGTATGTTAACTGCCCAAAATCTGCTTTAGGTTCATAGGAGAAACCAGCTTTAAGTTGTTGTCTTTAGTTCATGTGGAGTGTTATCATTGCTTGTCAGTCATTGAGTGTTGAACTAGATAGAAAAGAATGTGAAAGTTCTACCCAAAGTAGTCTCTCTTTGAAGGAATAATTAAGATACAAATTAAAAGAAAATAGTTTTAAAGTGTATCATTCATTCATATTCATTCTTGAAAAGTTCTTGAAATACCCGTAGTTTTTCCTAGGAATGTTTTCTTTCATTTGGTTTTTGTTTTTTTTTTTCTTTTTTTTCTTCTTTTCTCCTGGCTCATATAAATAAGAATTTGACTGTCTTCCATATATCTGACAGACACAAGAGATACTTTCCTTTGACTTTTTCTTTTTTATATGCATCAAAAATTGATGCCTCTCTGAGATTTTTATCCTGCTAATCATTGGAAAGATTGGGGAGGATTTACTGGTTTAGCTGCCTTGCAGTGTGTGGGTAGGATTTAGTAGATGTTACTTCTTCAGTGAATTTGCACAGTGGGGTGGTATCTTTATATTTAACATAGTTCCTTACTTGATGTGAATTGGGTGCTATCTTATTGTGTATGTGTGGTTTTGTGGTTTTTTTCCTTTCCTTGTAAAGTAGATTGGGATTCAGGAGTCATCTTACATTTTCTTGTCAAAAGTGACTAAGAAAAACTCCCCATCAGCATCTTCCCAGCCTGGAAATGAATGCTGTGCTGTCCGCGAATTTTGTGGTGTCACTTTAAGTGCAGTCAGGGTACAGGGCTCTGGAGTGGCCACTCCTAGTGCTAAAACAAAAGAAACCCAAAACAAAGCACCTCTGCCCAAAAACTAATAAGGAAAAAAAACAACCCCAAAGTTGGCTGTGGCTGGGTTTTCAGAAATTGATCTTTTACATCAGACAGTCTTTGAGTTATTCAGTAGTAGGAGGAGGAGGATTGGTTCACATCTGTCTCCAAGATCTCGTACATATCCTATTGCTACCACTCCTCGTTGCTACATTTGCGTGGTCCAATACCGTGTGCAATGGTGGTAGTAGTTGTTGAGTATCAGAAATGCTTTTCCTTTAGCTCAGTGAATGGTTATTAGGGGTGGATGGTTTGTCAGCCTTTCAAAGCCTCTCATGTAATTTCCAGTATCTGGGCCTCAAGATTGACATTCACTCAAACTGTACCCTTTGAGTCTGTTAGACCACCCGTTAACTCCAGATCAAATGAGAGCTTCCTTACAACCTGGCAGATTCCTATTTTTGATGAGTCATTCAGAGCTTGACCTTTCAGCTATGTATTTTAATAAATGGTCTGCCTTTCCTGGGGCTCAGGGCCTCTTACGCTTGTTCCTTGCTTTGTTCCAAAATTCTTGTGCTGTCTTCAAATGTGACTTCATTTAGTGTCTTCTCTTGATCTGTATGCTCTAGACAAGTAGGTTGTCACAAAGTGAAAAATTCCCTTCTATGTTGTCAAAACCAGATCAGTGTATGTACCTAAATGTTTTTTCAGTTCACTCTGCCTGGTTTATGGTAGAGATAAATGTGTTGTTCTGGACTGAGGGGACACTCATGCAGAGGACAGCAAACGCAAAAGGAGCAGGCGTTTTACATCGGTTTTCCAGCACTCTGAGCTGTCTGCAATGAGTGGAAGTCTCATGTCCACTTAACAAAAGACAGTGTACAAAGTAGGTGAATCATCAACAAATGTGTGCCATGGAGTCACAGGTGAGACAGCAAATGACTGTAGTGGATCTGGATATGGGTTTGAGTTTTTCGGGGGTTTTTGGGGTTTATTTTAAAGAGTCAAGGATATTAGAACTATACCCCTGCTTGACTGTCTCACACAGTCCCTCTCTTGCCCCCCACCCTGGTGGTGTGTTTACTGAGGTCTCAACTTTATTTCCCAGCAAGGGAATCACTGCTGGTCTGGGAGGATGGGACAGAAAATCATGTCAACACCTGCTTTGCAGCTGCTTGCAATTAAAGTCTCGGTGGACTGTGGACTAAGGGCAGTCCCCAGCTTTCATCTCTGTGCCTCTCTGATCTCCAGGATCATCCTCAGCTTCCCAGGATCTTCACCCTCATCTTTCTGGGCTCCCAAGCCCCCATTTTTCTTCATCTAAATAGTCTTATCTGCAAAACCTGTGGTCATAATCCTACCTGGTAGTTCTGTGTCTTGTCGCTTTACTAATGGGAAGATCAGAACACGTCACTTCTGTTTAGTCCAAACGTTACCAAAATTCACAACCAGACCATACCAGTTGCAGCTAGCTAGCAGTTTCATGCTTGACAGTTTGAAAATTCAGTTTTGGATGTTTTACAAGCCTCTATATGAAATCTGTGCAAAAGTAACTTGAACCGACTGTTACTTGCTCAACTGCTTCCCAGTTTACTTCTTGATGGGTGATTCTGAGGGAGTTATGAGACTCCCTGCAGCGGTAACAGGTGTCAGATCATGTGAACAGTAGACTTCTGCTTCCCAGGTTATTAGTGGTGATGCATGCTTCTCTCTGCAGCTAAGAACTTGTTTTAAGGAATTCAAATGAAAGCTCAAGACTTGCAGTCCCTGTTGAGTGCAAATTACAGCATTCTGGAAATCACATTGAAAGGTAACACACCGGACCTTCCGTTCCTGAATCAATTCATCCTTTTGGCCTTTCCTGCTTACAGCAGATATTATATCACTACCAAGTTCTGCATAGGCAAAGTAAAATACTACAAGATCTGTGCAAGTAATGCACTGAGCAGTGAAACCAAAAGTATGTATGACTACATAGACTTAAATATTTAGTGGATTGCAAGCAGTGTGGAATGGTATCTTGGAAATCACCTTTTATGAATGGGGCACTCAAAAATTGAACTGTCAATCTTGGAATCTAACAAGAAGTGCTAGTATTTCTGTTTCTGGGATGGACAGGTTGTGGAACTGCTGTCAGCTTCCCTAATTGGGAGAGCTGTTCTGTGCTTTTCCTCTGATACTTCTCTTCAGCAAGAATGCTCCTACTGCACAAAAAAAATCCAAGACAGTTTGGTATCAGGCTACTTCACTCTGGAATCCCAGGATTCAGTCACTATGCAGAGATCTTCTAATTCTAGAATCTGGTCAAGATTGCTGTCCAAATCACAAAAAGTTTGACAGAGACTTAGCAGATGTCTTTATCAGCAGTGCCTGTAGGCTTGCGTTCATAGCTGTCTGTTGAACGCTTACTTTCTCCAGTTCATATGCAGTGATCTGGATCAGAACTGTTACTTTTTTGAAGGGGTTTCCTTTCCATTTGTTCACAATATTTTTAAATACTCATCAAGGTCCTGCTCTAATCTTAAAGACTTTTTTTTTCTTTTTTTTGCTGATGAGAGTCCTTGGGCTTTTCATAGGACAATGCTCTTTTAATGTTTTATGTGTTTCTCTTCAATTATCTTTGTGCTGTCTGTCACACAACAATCATGGCTTATTCCTGAATATATTGTATTCATTAGGGGGGTACAGACTCCTGAGTGTTGGTGGTTTATCTTCCATGAAGTGAATTTACAGTGCTTTAGACCATCAGAAGATTTGGATTTGTAGTACATCAGCAACCACATAAGTGATTTTTTTTTTCCTAGTTCTCCCATAACTTTCACAGGTTATCTCAGCAGGTCCTTGAATCATGAAATGCAGGCCACTGTCCTAGTTGATCTCAAGTTGATTGGCAGCTGCCTCAGGTGTGTTTGGTTATTTCAGGAAAAAATTGCAAGCCACCAACCCATTGGTTTGGGTGTGTTTCCCTTGCTGTGTTGAGTGTTTATGCCATCTGTTTCTATGGGTTCTTACCAAATCACCTGTGCTGCACCTTGACTTCAGTTCTGGTTCCTAGTCTTTCCCTGTCTGTCCATTCACAACCTGAGGCCTTTGCCTGTTTCTGCAATTTATTGTTAGGACTTTCATCAAGTGCTTCAGTTGTCGTTGAGACACTCTGTTTTCCAGTGTAGATGGTAGTTGGTTCTCTGAGGTAAATTAGATTCTTCTCTGGTCAAGTGTTTGGGGGTTTTTTCAACAGCAAGAGTATATACTTCCATCTGACACGGTCAGAATACATCTACTAATGTTCTTTTCAATCTTTTCCAGTGTTTTTATATTGCTTATTTTGGGATATTTCTTGGAGTTGAAGAATGTGGAGCTTTTCTTTACTTTCTCAAGAATTTGCCTTCTCTGCTCAAAATTTTTCATTTATCAGACCTGTCCATTTTTATGTGAATGATGCATAGTTTTCCAAACGCTTATTTTGGATTTAGCTACATAGACACAAATTGGTCCCC